CTCTGTTTCTCAGGTGTCCAAAGCCAAGGCCTGGCTGGGACCAGGTTTCCACAGGATGAGCCCAGCTGTGCTAAGATGAGCTCTTGTTCAATGGGGTTTTTTGGAAGAAAAATACCCATCTCATAATACTCCCAAACCCAGCTACAGGACAAGAGCAGAGACAAGGCTACTGATGGAGAACACGCAGAGTGATTGTTACCCTGGGGCACGAGGGACATCTCAGGGCTGATGCACCACAGCGGGGAGGGACACGGGGCTGTTCAATTCATCCCCACTGCACCCTGCCATGCTGACGGGAACCTGGGACCCCAGAGAAATTACTTTCTGCAAGAGCCAACAGGCAGCTCTGCACAGTAAACTGCAGGGTTTAAAGCTAAGAACAGATTAAATTAAACACTAGGTGCAAAGCCTCACAAACTGCACCTTGCCTGTGCTCAGCAGGGCATCTCCTGGGACAGCCCGGAGGCAGCTCGTCATCGGCTGGGAAAGCGCTGGAGAGACAAGTGTGTTGTCATGATTGCACACAGCATCTTCAGTTGCTCACATTAACTAATAAAAAACCACTATGTGTTTCTACAGATTGAAGCAAGGCTTTCCGAGGAACCACAAAACCCTTCTTTTCCACAGGCTGAATGTTTCTAAACTATTTCCCGCATAACTCTGCAATAAAGTCTCTCGCTAAATTACACTCATTAGTCAAATTGAGTTTCATTACCATCCTTTCCTTTAGTGCCCATTACACCAGCTGGGTGCTGCATTTCAGGAATATATTATATGCTAGCAACAAGAATGTTTCCTCTAAAAAAATAAGAAATAATTAAAAAAAGGACTTTTTGGTGATAAATTAGTTCATATTTCTTTAAAGGTCCAAGAGGTTATCAGGGAAGTGGAGGAAGATGAAACAGCTGTTGTTGGACACCAGAGTGCTTTCTAGAATGTCCTGTTCTTCCAATTTATTTTTTGTAATAAACATAATTAGCAGAACCAATAAGTTGTTATCTACACAGACAGCTTTTTTGACAAATTCAGGCTCACTTTTATGCACTTGGCAGTCACTAGGGAACATGGGCAACACAACCCAACACAGCAAGAGAGAAAGCATGATAGCACATGAGATTACAGTTAATCATTTCATTGAATGGCTCACCTGTGACACTGGGCACCATCCGAAAAAAAAAAAATAAAAAAGAGAAGAGAAATATGATGTTGACAATAGACATCCGCAGTACCATGCCATGGGCCTTACTTCCCTTAATTACATGTTAGAAGAATCTTGCAACACCTAGATATTTCCAAAACCTGACATTTAGGTAACCAAACTGCCCACTCTTCTTCAATGCAATCTACCTGTACCTAGGGATTTCACTCTACGTGAATCTGATGGCCTTTTAAGAATATTTGGGTGTTTCAGGTTGTACTAACTGGTGATAGAAGAAAATGAGAAGGCTCCTGTCTGTTGGGTTTATAAAAAACAAAAACAAAAACCACCAACAGAGCAGGCTGGGAGCTTCAGCATACCCGTGTTACCAAAAGCTCAAAGTTGAAAGGTGAGAGGGAAGAGCAAAGAGCATTTTTAGCATTAGTTAGTTGGGAATTCACAGCCTTTAGAGCATTGCCAACAAACTCAGTCATGCCCTGGTACTTGGTAAAACAGAAAGGAAACTATTACAGCTATTTGCATCCCTGCCATAACAGCGGAAAAAAACCTCATATCGCTAAGTGACAGGCTGAGTCAAACACTTCCTCTTTAATGAAAACTTTATTAGATCCCAGCACGGTTACAATTTTGGAAATTGCTTTTAGTGAGTTTGTTGAGTTTTGGAGCTAGGATTTAATGTCATTGTCTTTTAAATTTAATCTTATTCGAATTACATTTAATTTGATTGTGCTCTGGTGCTTACTTGCGTATGAGTAGTTCACCATTTTGCTACTTACCCCTTTGCAAGACACCCACATCCCCCAGTGTTACCCCAAACACAGCACAGTAGGTATTCATAAACCACAGGGTGTCCTGCAAAGCCTACAAATCTGCTGTGTTTGGGGGTTTTTTGGTGTTTTTTTTTCCCCCCTCCAGACATATATGCCATATAGGCTCTGCAGCTACTGCTAAAGAGGACTGCCTTTCCTACCACACACTTTGCCTCTATTTCTCAGTGGCTCCCAGCACCATATGAAACAAGGAAAAGCCCAGTCCTATTTCATTTACCTCCCACAGCATTTCCCCACCTCCTCTCCAGACAAGGAGCCCTTACCTGCACCACAGAGACTCTACCCCCACTTTTGCTCTCCCTGTTCCTGCTTTAACTCTTTCACACACCTGCCATCAATGCAAAATTAAGTAACTGGCAATTGCTGCCACCTTTCTGTGACCAAATTTCCTGAAACAAACAAACAAACAAACAAACAAACAAAAAAAAAACAACAACAACAAATTTGGTCACAACTAGCAACAAGCAAAATGTGAAGAAATTGGTAATTTACATTCATAGCCTCAGTCCTTGGAATGTTGTTTAGACACAGAATAAGGCTGTAACCCCCGTGAAACACAGCGTGGTGGACACAGAGAAGGCGAGCAAAACATCTGCTGCTCTTGCACAGTTCACATAAAACCTACATTAATCACTCTTTACCTCCCTGATCTTTATCTCAGGGTATAATGTAAAATGTCAGCAAATAAATTAGTCTTTACCATGCTTAATTCCCTCAAGTAGCTATGTAAAAATTTTTCAACTCAGTTAGAAAAATCAAAACAAACCCAAAAATTGCCACAGAGGGGTGCAGGCCTTAACAGCCTTCCCATCCTCCACAAACCAGAGGCAGCAAGGCATTCATTTATTAAAAGATCCTGGAGAAACCAATATCCAACCTGGGAATCCAGATTCCCAAAAAGCTCTTTACCCAAATTCCTCAGTGTGACACAAGACTAGGTGGACATTTTCTGCAGTTTACATGGCCAAGTATATTGGTGACACCACAAATCTAGGGCATGAGCAGAAATTAGCTGTTGTGGCTGCTCTCTTGTGAGTCAGAGAAATATCAGAGATGGCATGGACTGATGGCCAAGAGACTTTACTTGTGTTTGAAGAATGCCCTTGAAGCTGGTGGGTTTTCCTGTTGCATCTCACCGTGGTATGTTCACCTCTGCTGAACTAAACTGGGTGTGCAACTTGAAAGCGAAAAAGCATCTGGCCTTCAGGATATTTATTAGTAACAGAATTAGGAAAAAAACCCTCATTTTCTGAGCTTCTAAGGAAATGCACAGGATTACTTCACTCATTCTTTTCTCCTCTTTGATCTTGATTGGTAGGTCTCTAACAAAATTAGCAATTATCAAAATGAATTTAAGATAATGCAATTTTATCTGGATTGGTTTAGCTGAGCCCTGGGCACAAGAAGCATTGCAGAGAGGGAGGTACTGTCATATTTTTTCCTACATATTCTGACTAAAAGTATTGTTTCAAAATGTTACTGTCAAATAGATTTTTCCCCTCTCTGCACATAACATCTGATGAGCAGGAAAACAGTAAGCCAGGAGTGTTTCTTCTAGAGAAAAAAAAAATCACGCAGGGATTCAAATGGAAGTGTGGGGTGTGGGAAGGCAGCAGGAGGTTTGAAACACCTCGTGTAGTGGGACCAGCACAACTCTCCTCCTCGTCCTGCTGATTTACAGTGGGTTATTTGAAGCTGAAACATCTCCCACAGTCTCCAGAAGGCTGTGAAGCCCACTCCAGCCAGGCTTCAGCTGCCTTCCAGTGTTGGCCCTGATCGAGCCAGGCTATTATCCTGTCACTGTTACTGTATGACAGACAGAAGTGACGTGGTTGGACGACACTTCACTGGGAGAAGGGGAAAGGACAAGGCAGCACATGTGTCTTGAAGACATCCTGATGGGATCACTTCCTTTTCCTGTGAAATACAACTTCAGTTCAGCAATATCCCCTGGCAATTGATGAGTCCATCTCCAGCAAAGATGAATATTGAATCCTGTGCAGCAGAACTGCTCTCCGTGTTGTTTTGGGATGTGAGGCCAGTCTTCACCCATCTAGTGCCATGAAAGAGAGACAGTGAGGGCACAGCATCCTAGCTGAGAGTCCTGACCCAAAGCCATACCTAACCTGGGCTGTCAGTTTTTAATTGCCCAGAGAAACAAAATGGTCAGTGGCTCTCAGTGGCACAGGCTGGGTGGCCAAAGAGCCAAGAAGACAAACAACCTCCAGCTCCTGGCTGTAAACCAGGGCACTGCGTTCCCTCCCTTACCAGAAACAACACTCGAGGTGGCCTTGTTTGTGATCCAGTGTTCTCTTCTTCTTCAATTTCCTGTAATTTTGCTCAGCCACAATATTATAGGGTTTATAACATTTTCCGTTCAGGCACGGTGAAGACTGTAAACATGTGTCTCACACACTGCTAACGCTGAAGGCTCATCATCAGCAACATGGCAATATCTGAGATGCACTAATGAAGCTGGCAAGTAAAAATGGGGTGCAAGGGTCTCATTTCACAGATTGCCTAATCAGATTTTTCCAGCATGAGGTTGGGTGTGATGTGTGGCACAGAGCTGTGTCCACCTGAACTTCTTTCCATGAAGCAACAGCCATGGTGGGACGGCAAAGTATCCATTTGCGCAGATATTTTTAAAAGTTCACTTGAACACTTTTCCCCTTCTCCACCCAAGTTATCTTGCTAAACTTTAGGATTGTGCAACAAGCAGGAATAGGTACAAATTGTCCTTAAAATTTGGGTTTAATATTCACAGTTTTGTTGTAAACAAAACTAAACGAAAACACTTAGCTGCTATTGCTAAATAAGTTGGAACCTGTACACTGCCAATTAGCCAGGCTGGTGGTACACCTCGAGGGCTGCTGTCAGTTCTTGCTGTTGGCCTGACTCTGCAAGCAAAAGAACTGAGGCCACATAAATTTTCTGATTGGCTGGAAAAATTTGGATACAGCCTCTGTTGGGATGTATAAATAGAAAGCAAAGTGGTTTAGACCTTTCACTTTGAAAGCAGAGCTCTCAAGGCACATGAAAATGCACAGACTCACAGCAGTCATCCTCGCGATTGCGATCTCCAGTGGTGAGTTAGCTGAATTTTAGTAAACATTGCACATTGTAACCTACTTTCTTTCTCTGTTTTTTTGTTTGGTTGGTTTGGTTTGTTTTTTGTTGTTTTTTTTTTGTTTGTTTTGTTTTGTTTTTTTTTTTTTTTAATGAAGTGTATCTGTAAGGATTTAGGAATTGATTTGTTATCTGCCAGTTTTTGCTTTTGAAAATAAACCCTCTCATATTGCATAGAAACATCCAAGGAGAAATCCTTTTTAGGTGTGGTAAAGAGTTGTGGCAAAATTTTGTTGGAGTAATAATGTTGACTGAATAAGAAAGAATCAGCTGAGGCATATCAATTACTAACAGCATGAATGTTTTCTTAAAAGCCTTTTACTTAAAGATCAGCCCACTGAGCACTGAGTGTTCCCAGAGATGTTTCTGTGTGTAACGTAGTCACCTTTGATTTCACAAAGAATACACAATTAATTGAAATAAATGAAGACTACCTAGAACAAAGAGCTGTTTTGCTTGAGGAAGGCATTAGAGATTTCCTGCACCCTTATAGCACCAGACCTTCAGTGCCAGCACATCATTTCCCCTGTTTCCATACACTCCCAGAGCCCAACAGGGATGGTTCCAGCCAAGCTGTTCACACACACGAATAAACCCTCAACTCTTTGCTTCTTGCTAGAACAGCCCCATTCTTGCTAAAGCACCTCGTGGGAAACCCTAATAGTTCAGGGAGGGGGACACACACAACACCAGGGCTGTTAGAGTCTTGTAGAAGGCACCAAGTCAGGAGTTGCCTTTCCCCCCTTTTCCCCTAGAAATATCTTCCCTCTCTCAGAGATTACCAGAGCCGTAGGATCATTGCCGGGGCCGTAGAATCAGCATGGCTTTGACTGTGGGTGATGATGGCTGGAGTCTGGAATAAAAACATGAGGATGTTACCCTACTGGCTGCTACTTTGGAAGAGTAATACAGAAACACTGGAAGATAGAAAATGCAATTAGTAAAAGGTAGATGACAACTTGTATTTTTGACTGGATCTCACACCAGAGAATAGGAATGGTCTTGGTGGATCTCTCTCAGTCCTACTTTTTATAGTTCCAGCTCAGTATCCCAAGATCCTGGGTGGCTCAGGTCACCTTCCAGGCAGAGACATCCCGGAGCTCCAGCCCTACGCCTGCCATGCGAATGCAGCACAGCATGTCTGCCCTGGGCCATGGGAGAGGAGATGGCCACTTCATGATGTCCCCTCCAGATCTATTTGTTCTGCTTTTTGCTTTGAAGTCACTGCTTTAAGTACCCTCAAACATCACTGGGCAAAGCATAAAACAAAAAAAATTCTGTTTTTTACATCCCTAAAATTAGCTTGCATTAAAAGATGAACAACTTTCTATTTCCCTGAATCCTGATCCATGGTTGCAGCAAAGTACAAAAGGAGCTTGCTTTTGATTAAACAACATGGGCTGGGAAATCCCCTTTCTAGCTTGTGGGTTTCACCTTCTGTTCTTCTCTTTTCTTCTTTCTAGCTACTGCAGCACAATGGGCGAAAATCTGCTCAAGTCAACCTGCAAACAAAATCAGAGGCTGTGACTCCCAGGGCTGCGGTGGATACAACGACCCCAGGTCCTGGGCTGGGATGACAGGAGATGGCTGTGCTAGAAACTTCCTTAAAATAAAAATAAGCAGGAAAAAATGGGTGAAAGGATGGTTTTTAGTTGGCAAGGGCTGCGCCACAGGCTAACCTGCCTTGCTCTTCTTCTTCAGAGGAGGGAGGAAGCACAGGGGAGTGGACGTGGTGTGTGAGGACGGCTCGGTGGTGTACGCACCCTTCACGGGGAAGATCGACAAACAAGCCAGGCCCTACGGAAACGGCAACGCCATCGACAACGGAGTCCAGCTTTCAGGATCAGGTACCAGAGCTGAAAGATGTGTGTCTTGCAAAGCCTAATTGCAAAATGCTCCAATTTGTTTAGAGAGCTTTAAACTGAACCCAAAATCATGAACCTAACCCGAACTGCAGTGCGCTTGCACGTGAATCCTAGTGAAAACTATGACTTTGAAATCCAGGTTCTGTTAATGCAGGAAAATTTATTGAAAGGGTTACAGCACTTCACCGCTATTAAAAAAAGTCCAAAGGTGAAGCTAGTCCCTTTGCACATTTTGGATAACTAAAGGAACAGCTTCTGACTTGCTCATGCAGTTTTACCAACCTTAATCCCCTTCTCCACCCTCCTCCATGTTAATTTTTTTTTTTTCCTATTCTCTCTTCTTGATGCCATAGGAGCATCACAGTATTTTCTGTAACTTTTTCTGCTGCTGAATCTCTTACCATTTTATTGTCATTTGGATTTTGATACTGAACATTATGACTTTGCCAGACTTTTAAACCATTTCACAGGAGCAACAGTTTCCCCCTTTTCTCTCATCCCTGTTAACAGGATTCTGCATTAAGATGTTTTACATCAAGCCCGTCAAGTACAGCGGCTCCATCAGGAAGGGAGAGAAAATTGGTGTCCTGCTGCCCATGCAAAGGGTCTACCAAGGAATTATATCCCATGTTCATATCCAGAACTGTGATTTAACAGATCCTACTCCCAACCTGTAAACAAGTGGCTGCACATCAGGGGCAAAGCCTTCAGCCCCCCCACTTGTGTATTCATGAAATCGCTTGGGCATAGGTAGTCACTCTAGTAAAGTGGAAGCCACCGAGCCTCAAACAGCTGTTCCACCTCAAATGTATCCAAGAACAAAAATGCTGGTGGTTATCTGAACATAAACAGACTCATGTCTGTTTATATAACATGTGCTTTAAAGCTGTTACTGTGTCTTGCACATCGCGTCACTGGTAGATGAGGGCTAAAGCGGTGGGGAACGGACGAGTGGATCCTCGATGCTCAGCAGCCCCGCAGCGAGCTGTGCCATAGCTCACTCATCTTGGACTGTTCCACTCTCTTTGGAGCCAAAGCATGAAGATTTCTTCAATAAGCCAGAAATTTCACTTGTGCTTGCACATGGAAAATCACATTATTAAAGGGCTGCTTCACTACAAATTGCTTTGAATTTCTTTGGTGCTGTCACAGCGTTTGGGCTGGGTTGTGCTTTTTTAATGCAGCTGGGGAGAAAAAACCTGTATAAAGCTGAAACCCAAATCTTTCCTGGGGCCCATCAGCAAAAACATAAAACAACATTAATGAAGTAACTCATTCCTTTTCCTCAGACTCCTGCTTCAGGATTGCCTTGGCACACCCAGGTTTCTCTTTGTCCAAGTGAGGCATTTCTTTCCATTAGTAAATCAGCTGAAAACTTTCCCGGGACAACAAGCTCTTGTTAATAGGACAGGGCTCTTCAGGCCAAGGCTACCAGCATGCTACTGGGAGTCTCAAGGGCTAAAGTGCTCTACAAGTGGTGCAGGCTCACGTATTTACTAATGCAACTGAAACCTTGGATAATCAGGAAAGCTGCTTCAGTGAGAGCTGCGTATGTCCTGACAGCAGATTTGATTTTTCTGAGAAACTACGGAAAGATATTTCCTGCATAAGTGAAAAGTGCTTAACCTGCTGTGTCCCATTCACCTTCCCCAGGAACCACTTTAATTTTGCGATGAATGAAAAATCAGTACATTCATATAGATACACAACCCAATCCTGCAGGGGCAGATAGCAACCAAACACTGAAGGCAAGTTAATACAGTTGAGTTTGCTGTGAAAAAAAACTTTTCCTTACACTGAAAGCAGAAGCATTTCCACAAAAGTTCCGAGTGTTCTCCAGTTTTGCCCAATTTTTAAAATTTTTGTCATGAAGGTGATTTCCCACAGAAAAGAAAAACTCTCACCTAAGTTTCACTTAGTTAAAATCCCAGGTTTTAACCCAGTTATCAACTTCTCACATTTGAAAAGGGAAGGTCCCAATCAAGCCCTCACTTCTCCATGCAAATTCTAAGGAAAGACTGAGCTGACCTTGCAGACTGAGCAGGGCTCTGAGCCTCCAGCCAACACCTAAACATTTAAACATAAACATTTTCACCTAAACATTAATGACAATAGCTTGGCACTTTTCTGGTATGTCCCCACAGACTGGTTTCACAAACCTTTTTGGGGAGCTGTTATTTAATCTTAATTTTTCCAGCAGCACAGAGAGGTGCAGTGCTTTGATGCAGGGCTGCAGGATGCTCCTGCAGGTGCCTGAGAGGTGTACAGTGCAAACACTAAAACTTCCAGTTTTAGCTGGGGCTGTCACCCAGCAGCAAAGAAGAAACAGTAAGTACCACTTTCTATTTTAGGTGTCAGAGCAGCTGGGGCAAACAGTATAAGTAAATCCAGCTTTATCTTTTCAGTCTAGTAAAAAAAAAAAAAAAAAAAACAAACAAAAAAAAACAACTGACAATCAAGGGAAAGTACAATCTGTAGCTGACTCTAAGAAGGGAAGGAAAGAACGGGCTGGTAAAATAGACAGTTCTAGAAATATTCAAGGTGAGGGGAAAGGGTGTTGGGGGAAGTAACAAGGACAACTAGGCTTTTCAGAAAAGAGTTAGCAAACTCGGACCATGCAGAATTGCTTTGTTTCTGCACCAGTTCTGCAGGGATCCTTTTCCTTGCTATCCCTTTTATTTCATAAGTTTGTATCACAAGGTCCCAGACTAACTGCTTAAGACTGCAACCCAAATCTACACTATATCCTTCTATTTTCCCAAGCATTAAAGGACTTCTGGAAGATTCAGCCAGAGCTTTGTCATCCTCATGAGATAGGACACAGGTAACAAAAAGGTTTTATTTTGTGTTCATCAATCCTCCTCATTAAAACCTGCCTAACTCAGGCTTAGCAAGTATGTTAAGGCAAAAAGGCAAAATAAACTTGAGGTGGAGTCTTCAATCAGAATTGTGCATCAGCACATCTTCAGCTTCAGCTCATACTTAGCAGAGAAGAAAGGCGACATACTCAGCTCTCCTACAGCCTGTGCTCTGCTTAAAATATGACATGCCCAAACATGCCTTTGCCTGATCAGCTAGCGCAACCTGCTGATTTTCCAGCAATACTACAGTATAAGCCATATACACAAAGCTGAATTAATCGTTGTGGCAAAATTCCTTGTCTCAGCCTCACCAAGTGATCAGAAGCCTGAATAAATAGCGAGTGCAATTTGTTTTACAGTGTGCCAGCTTGATTTTCACCATGAAAGCCTGTGTTGCTAATTGCACAAGTGAGTGCTCAGCACTGACTTATTCTTGCATTGAGCATGCCAGGCTAGCCAAGAAGGACAAAACCAATTGTTCGGTAAGATATATCTAGGAAGAAGTTTTATCTACCTTTTCAATTGCCTGCTAACAAGCCTGGCAAACTTATGGTTATGATACTGTAACATTACCAAGAAATAGGATGTGAAGCTTTCATTTATTCAATTCACTGGGGCTGCAGCCCCACAGAGGTTGCAAAGAGGAAGGATCTCATGGACCAAATCATCAGGTTTTGGATGTTAGTTGAATCCTACCGAACTGAAATATGTGTAAAGGAAATGATGGAGAAGCCAGCCCTCACTTGTGGGCAGCCAAAGGAGGATGGCAGCAGAGCTGGAAGGGAACAGCAGGTCTTGGCTGGGTGGTTGGATTTGCTCTGGCTCAGGCTTTGGCCCTGGCTTTTGCTGATGTTTCTGCTCAAAGGCTCCACTACCCTTACCTAGGTGTGTTTCAGTTTTCTGGATTTTTTTCTCTGAAAACCTTCTTCCATCATTTTACCATCTGAATTTTCTCATTAAGAGATAATGTTAAGATAGTTAATATGTAAAGAGGTACTAGTCTCAAAGTTTCCAAAGTTTATGAACGCATGCATGGCAGGTACCATCTATCCAAAAGTCCTGGTAACTGGCAGCGGACCCTCCTGAAACACTACATTTACACAGCAGAATCACAGTATCTTTGGAAAGGCTGAATAGCAAAGTAGGGATTTCTCCTGGACATCATCAAGTTTAACTCATTCCTTGCCTGTTGATATCAGCCCAAACACTTGTATTTGCCCGCCGCACTCTTTCTCAGTCCATGAAAAGACCACGAAGGGACTTACACCGCCAGGGAAGTTACTACTGACATAAAAGGGGCAAAACAGGGAACTCACACCGTTCATGCAAGAGAAAGAAGCCAGAGTTTCCCAAGCCAGCCCACCTGCTTCCGTGTGCTGCGCGCTGGCTCCTCTCCATCTCCTTGCTGGCTCCCCGCCGCAGGGAAGGAAATGCTGCAACTGCAGCTCCCAGGGGCTGTGCAACGCCGGCCGGTTGTTCCATATCCTTCTGTTAGTGTGTGCTAAGAGGCCAATTCGTGTCTTTCACAACTGCACCTACCAACTGTTATATTAACATCTCTGTTGCTCAACACAGAAATCCCACCAACTTCATCCCAGAGCTTCCTCATGCCCCAGGGGTGAGGTCTGCACCTTCCAGCTCACCCAGGAAAGATGGGGAACGCACCGAGAAATCTCAACTGCGATATCATGCACTTGAAAACTGTTTTATAAAGAATACTTTACCAGAAGGGCATTAGATATATTATTGCAACAAATGACATTTTGACATAGAAAGAACAGAGCAAGACACAATGCTATTAAGATCTTTTATGAAGAAAATATAAAAAAATGTACACAGCTATGAGCAACTTGGAGTCAGCTCTGTAACACAAATGAGATGGGAAAAAAATGCAAAGAACAGGCAGCTTAGAACCACTTTACAAAGTGTCAGACTGCAAAATAGGACTTGGAGAAGAGCTTCTTCAGTGTCTGTGCACCTGTAACACAGGTGTACTTCTCTCCTCATACCTAACTAGCTTGGCTTTACACCCAGCCTTTCCTTCACAAGACTTTGTAGATTGAGGCACTGCAATTCCTTCCTCAGTAAAATTAGGAGCATGTGAGTTCACAAAAGTCTATAAAAATCATTAGCTTCTCAAGGCAGGTCTGCCCCAGGTAAAATTTATATAATGAGATATTTAAAACTCTACTAGTGCAAACTAGCAGTCAGAAATAAGTCAGAAATAAAATCTGGTTGAGAGAGATCATTACTGCAGAAACCCCACTAGAGACCCCTCAGCTGGGAATGGCCAGGCACCAACAACATAAAGTCTTTAATTTTTAATGTTTTTTTTTCCAGTAGGGAAAAAAGCTTACAGCAGCTAGTACCAAGCTACCCAAGCTCGGAAATACTTTATTACATCTGTGCTATGAAATCTTCATTGAATGGTGCCACACATACCACCTCCCTTGATGATCCTCTCTGCTAAGGAGAGCTGAGGGGGTTTGTGGAGAGTTCGTGCCAAATGAAAGTGAATAAGCCTGGAAATCTGGAAGGAATATTACACAAGCGATCCCAGCTTGTAGTGATGCAGGCTGTTTCTGGCAAGGGTCACACAAACCCACATACTCCAGCCTTCAGTTCAGAGGTGAACAGCATCCCCAAATCCTGAATACCCACCGAGAGCTCTTACCAGCACCTTGTATCATTTGTAAGCCTAGACTCCATTATATTGAGCAAATTATAACCAAAAGTCCCATCAGAACTAGACTGAGAAGACATAACATTTATATAAATACTTGTTTGGTGGCTTTCGGGTGTGAAAAACAGCAGTTCTTTCTGGCAGGATGAGGGAGAAACATCAGGGGTAAAATCAGAAAAGTTACTTGTAATAACCTCAGGGAGAGCTAAAAGATTGTTTGGGGGTTAAATAGTGGCTGTAAAAAAAGGCTTGGAACCACAAGCAAAAATGTTGTCTCCATCTGCTTGTTCTGTAGAGATTTTCAGAAAACACAATGTACAGATGCTCTTTGAAAATTAGAAGTGGGGCAGAGAGACATCTGTTTCTCTTCTGAATAAAACCTGCAGGACTTCCGGAGGTCTCTGTAACTTGGGATATCAGATAGTTTATGTGAAAGCATCATGAGTCATTTAAATCTCATATTAACTAAGACAGGTCCGTAAAGAAAATCTAATGTTTTTCTGCAAGTAGTGCAGAAAAATCAGACTGAAGGATTAAGAGAGAGACCCTAAGAATCATGCTTAATAGTACAATAGCTGAAATCAAGCAGATACTAAATGAATCATTTTAAAACCTAGAATGTTTTAACTCTATGTCAGTTATGCCATGCAACTTGAGTTTGCAACTGTTTGTTTCAGAACTTGAAGATGTTTTAGTAAGAATTTAGTTGTCAAAACCTAGGGTTTCAGTAGAAAGACTTCATGGATTTAAGTCCAGACTAGGTGATAATTTCAGCTGAACAGGAAAAAAGACATACAGATGCTTTTGCATGGAAACATTTCTTAGCCTAAGTGTATACTCATGGTACACAAAACATTACACCTTCACGTGTTCTCTATCACTCTGTTAGGAAGCACTAATGGGCACATACACCTGGGGAGGAGGTACTGAAATGAGCAGCAAAGGACAAACTGGTTATATCCACTGCGAATTTTTGCCCATCTTTTCCCTCCAACTCAATCCTCTGAATCATACTCTTGGCTTCTACCATTTTTGGCCTAAGTGTGTCCTTGCTTCAGGAGGGGGAAGAAAAGGTATTAAGAAACAGTTCAACCAGAGCTTCCCAAAATGTGGGATTATTCGTTTCCATCTGTTACCGTGTGCTAAGAGATCAGTTATCTTATTTGTCTTTCCCAACCAGCTCTAACAACTGTTAGAGTTTGTAGACATCCTCAGCACCTAATATGGCAACACCATCTGCCCAGAGCTGGAATACTTTGCTCAAGACTGATTGGCCAAGACACCAGACTTGGGCTTTCAGAAACACATAAATACCCCAGGCAGCTACTGCTCAATGTCTTTGATTTGATCAAAGAACACCGGCGAAACTGCCACAAAATGCCGGCTCTCAGTCTGGTATTTCTGGTCAGCTTGATGTCCACTGGTGAGTTGAGATTGCTGTATTGCAGTTGACTGGTTTTAGGCAGACACTCATGAATGATTGAAATTTGCTCTCACATAAATAATGCTAAATTTTTTCAATCTGGTTTTATGAAGAAGTATGGTAACGTTCACAGTTATGACTATTATAAAATATGGAATTAGGTGTGCATTTAGTCATATATTGAAGTGTTTAGAGGTTTCATAAAGAGAGATTGATTTATTTCACAAGTTAATACTAAAAATATTTAACTATAGCTTTGCTTTGGTTTTAGTGTCTGTACCTTAAAATAAGACCTCAAGAAAAAGGGATCAAATCTATATAGCAGGTTATACAATGTTCTTTTACCTACAGTTTCTGAAACGTTAAACTCCCATGAGCTCACATCTTCCACTTTAAAGACCCTATTTTGCATCTTAACACTTTCTGCTGTGCTGTACTAAGAACATGGTTGAATTTTCCCTGTTTTCCTCTTTTGCATGTGAAGTTTTCGCCAAGCAGTTGGACACACACCCACCCCAACAACAACACAGACACTGGGCACAGATCTGCAGTGGGAACCCCACCAACAAAATCCGGGGCTGTGATAGATACGGCTGTGGCCATTTCGGTGCTGACAGGTAACGCAGCGGGGCATTGGGAGTCTGGAGCAGAGGGGTTTGCTGTTGCTTTCCCAAATGAAATGTTCACACAGGAGAATGAGTGAAGTTTAACCAGAGTTGACTGTTGTCTGTGGGGCTTCTCACTCATTTTTGGGATGTTACTTGGCAATCTCACAGAAGTGCAGTAATACCGCTGCTACTAACTGATGCATGGGGGAAGAAGTGAGACCATTACATGAATTAGAAGCCAGAGTAAAGGAAATAGAAAGTATCTCAAGCATTTGTGTCATTTATTCTTGTTGCTTATAGACCAGATATTTAGCTAACATTCAGCAACAGCTTACAGGAAGCTAAACAGATTGATTCACACAAGCTAAAGGTCTGTCAGCATCATTGTCTTTAAATAGGCACCTCATAACACAGCAGGTTATATTTCCCTGAAAAATGCTTTTATATGTAGAATGACTCCTGCCCTTCCTGAATTTTCCTGTTGTCTCCTCTCCCCAGGAGCTGTAAGAAATGTCAATGCTCATCAAGCAACTTCCAAATTTCTAAATGAGAAAATGCCAAGCATATGATTTTATTTTATACCAGCAGAGATGTATTTTGGGGTAGAACAGAGGTACTTTTCTACAACAACTTGAAATACACTATGTTCTTGGGAAAATTAAAAATACACTTAAAATTTGAAATCTCATCCCCCTTTAAAGAAGGTCAGAGTAATTCACACATTTTGCAATAAAAAAAAGGATGGATAAAACCCACTCTTTCTTTCCAATTTCATTGCAAATGCAAAAAGTTTGTTAGACAAGCTGCAGGTATCCTACTGTGTCAACTGATCGATCTACAGAGGTTTAGCCTGACAGATTTCTCTAATTGCATATGTCTCCAGGCACAGTGGTAAGGGAAAGCATGGGGGCGTGGACGTCATCTGTACCGATGGAGCAACCGTGTACGCTCCTTTTAGCGGCCAGCTCTCCGGACCCATTCGATTCTTTCATAATGGAAACGCCATCGATGATGGAGTCCAAATCACTGGATCAGGCAAGTAATAACAGCAGATAGGTGTAAGGCCTGCACAAGTAATCACTTCATTTACTCAAGTAAGGTTTCTGTGGTTCTTCAATTCAAGTGAAGTGTTGATTAATCTTACACCTTCTCTAGTTCCTACTCAGGCATAGCTAGACTGCTGCTAAGAAATATCAGAAATCAGCACCAGCAGTCTGTGGTCCGTTTCCTATGCTTTTCTTGGAGAGGAGGGAAGGAGGGACTTGAAAAACAGGCAGCAGAAAAATGACCACCCCAAACAAAATTTAAAAAGGAAACAGTAAAAATAAAGCATCAGAAATACGCCCTCAATTTTGCTGAGAGGGTGTTTTCCTGTCCTTATTTTCCAGCTCCCTCTTTTTCTGTTTTTCATAAAAATCCAGGTGATTTTGATTTCAGGATTGTTGGTACTTTGACTACATTTTTGCTTCATCGTTACAGTCTCCAGTAAGAGACTAGCACAGAAGGTTTCTTGCTCACCCCAAGAACAGACACAGCTGATGTTTCCTGATCTCGCTTCCTCTCCCATCTCTTCCAGGTTACTGTGTAAAGCTCGTCTGTATTCACCCCATCCGGTACCACGGCCGAATCCAGAGAGGGCAACAACTTGGGAGAATGCTGCCAATGCAGAAAGTGTTTCCTGGCATTGTCTCTCACATCCATGTTGAGAACTGTGATCACTCTGATCCGACTCATCTACTTACACCTGGTAAAATACAAACACCCACCCCACTCCATACTTATTAGTAGTATAATGAATGAAAATTAAGTTATTAATTAATTTCAAATAAGGACAATACCAAATAGCAATAGTCCCCTCTGCCTTAGGTTCTCCCTGACAGCAACATCTGAAAGAGAAAATATGCGTTATAAATACAGCATAACAGGACTGCAGGCTGTCACAGGAAGAAGATACCAGCTTACCAAGTTATATTTCTTGTCCCCCCATTATACAGGAACATCAAGTCTCAGCACTGAGTCAGACATCTCTTTTGTTTGTACCCTTTCAAGCATTAGCAACGTTTTCAGTAATGCATCTTAGCAGACTTGGAGATGATTCTTTGCAAATACAAATACTACGTTGGCAGTAATGGAGAAGAGGACTTGAGGAGTCCAGTCCCATCAGTCTGGGCACAGAATAAGAAACAAAACTGAGTCTTTTCCTGTCTGTCAGATTATACTCTAGGAACCGTGACATTCTGAATTTTTGTCTTTAAAGCATGTTCCTTATAGGAGATAACCCTAGCCTAGAAACATTACAATCCAGTCTTAAGTGTCCATTCTATTTACATTTCCTAAAGGATTACAAATTCTGTGGAGGAAACAATCCAACTAAATGCATGGGATGTAATTTCAGTATGTTCCTACCCAACTAAAATTAAAATGTAGCCGTTACAAATGTGCAACAATTAATACCTAACTTTGTTGTGCTGTGCTTCTGTATTTCAAAGTTGTTCCACCATTCTCACAAAAAGACAGACGCTGGGCAACACTGTGCTCTGGGAATCCAACAAATGAGATAAGAGGCTGTGATAGGTACGGCTGCGGATACTACGGAGCTCCAAGGTACTATAAATGGAACACGTGGGGTTTTGGGTCTTGTTGCTGCTCCACTGAAAGAGAGTTTAACTCTGTTTAAGCCATTTAAGAAATACAGTGTTGAAGGCTTAGGTTGGACATGAGGTGACATTTTCACTACAGGGGTAATTCAGTACAAGAACAGGCTGCTCACATTGTTCTTAAAACCTTTGTGCTTGGAAGTTTTTATGACTGAGACTAAGCCGTGCCAGACCTGACCTGGTGTTGGGAACAATCTTGACTCAAGTGGAAGGGTAGACTTTATGTCTTCCACAGGTACCTGCCAACCAACATTTCTGTGACTCTGCAGTTCTATTTAATGGCTTTTTTTTTAAACTCCAATTTCCAAAACTGCAACTGTAACGGATCATCGACCCTACATGGCATTACATCACCTACATCAAAAAGCTTTTATAGATTCTTCAACCAGTCAACTATGTCAACACTGTGTCAGTACAAACAAGCCATCTCCAGATCGCGCAGCATGCTAACTCACGTGTCTCTATATAATGTTAGGTCTGATAAGAGACTTCTCTAATTACATACTTGTTTCCAGACACGGCGGTAAAGGAAAGCACAGTGGTGAACAAAAGCACAGTGGTGTGGATGTCATTTGTGCTGATGGAGCAACTGTGTATGCTCCGTTCTCTGGTGAGCTCTCTGGACCCATTAAGTTCTTCCACAACGGAAATGCCATTGATGATGGAGTACAAATCAGGGGACAAGGTAAATTGTTATTTTTCATTTAATAGTTATTTGTCTTGAGGTCATATAGTATGTATCACCTTGCAACTAGCCAAGTAGTTAAGCAAGGTGCATGTTTTGAAACACTGCATCTTCTGTCCACTTACATGCAGAACTTTTGCTCCTGTTAGAACACAAATAACTGAGTTCTACAGAATGTCTTCAAGCTCTTTTCTTCACCAGAGGAGGAATTCCCGCCTTCTCCCAGCCTCCTATCTTCCTTCCTCCACCAAACCAACAACTCAAACCACTATCTCTATGTTTTTTATGACCACAGTGTCATTGCTATTTTGCTATTTCCACTATCGCTATTTCAGTGGAAAGAACAAGGCAGAAAATGTTGATATTTCTGAAACAGAGTAAGTATAGAATGAACGCCTCATCAGTAATCCGCTGTTCTCCTCCTCTTGTTTTCATCAGGATTCTGTGTAAAACTAGTCTGCATCCATCCCATCAGATACAACGGTAGAATTTCTAAGGGACAAGTCCTTGGGAAAATGTTGCCAATGCAAAGAGTATTTCCTGGGATCACATCTCATATTCATGTTGAGAACTGCGATCACTCAGATCCTACTAGCAATCTTGAAAGTGGGAAAGGGCGAAGAGAGTGAAATGGAAAAGTGGTAAATTCCAAATAAATTCATCTCAGCATCAAAAAGTTGTGTTTTCTTGTGATGCACAACAGTTTATATTACTACTGATTCAATACTTTGAGCCTTACATAATACTGCAAGGTGCTAACATTAGTATAACTTCCAGGTACCAATTAGGTACCAGTTTTTAAGTACCTGTAACTGTTGTGAACATTGTATCTTAGGCTAATTGACAAACGTTACTTGGCAAAGAAGATTACTTCAGATTTTGAAGGCACTCAAACTGAGGAAAAACTAGAGGAAAATTTATGGAAACACTCCACAAGGCAGAAAAGGTGCTGTTAGACTTGTCATGCCAGAATCACCAGTGTCTCTATTGGATGGCAAAAGGGACTCCAAACAGGGAAAAGAGATTCAAGTTTTTGTTGGAATTTGCATTTACAAGAGAATTGGGAAATTAGCAATGACTGATTATAAGCTTTCCAAGAGACTGAAAAATCAGCAAGCATAAAAATGAGCCCACCCCCTCATGTGGCTGAAAAGGTGCATTACTGTTGGCTTCTCCCTGTAACATGGACTTTTCAGTGACCCTATAAATCTCCTCAGCATATCAGGTGTAAGTTCTGTACTTCATTTTGAGGGGCTTAGTTACTCTAACAAACCGTATGATTGCCTTACGTGCTTTAGAGATGAGGTCTTCAAAAGCCCGTGCAGGGCAGCAAAAACAGCAAAAGCCAATAAAACAGACAAAACTTTCCTTAGCTAGGACAAGGCAGAGATCTGAAGCACAGGCTACTCAAGGAATGGGAGGAAGTACAGGCAGCTATCAACAGGTTCTTGCCAAGTGCAGCACCTCCACTGCAGTCATTCAGGAAGAGCTACTTAAGAAAAATACCTAAAGCTACTTTACATAAGGCAGTGTTTCAACACTCCTCCCCCAAACACAGTGCATATACCATAGCATGACACAAAACAAATCTAATACTAAAACTACAAAATTCAACATTAACCTAATGTCAGAACTTACCTTTCCACTAAAATTAGCTTCTCACACTACCAGTGAAGAATCATTATTTCACACTAAGGTACCAATTTTGTTGGCATTTAATTATAAACTCATGTATCAATTGGCCTTACTTGTTAAGATCAGTCAGAGGAGCAAATGGGAAAAAAAAAAAAAAAAAAAAAAGCATTGGATCAAAAAATCACAGCATTGATAAATGCCGGCCCATTTTGCTAGAAGCTTGGAGCTGGAGCAGGCTAATGTTCATGGCTTCACAGAAAAGCAGCTTTAGTAAGAGGGACAGAGAAATGGACAATATTCCAAGAAGCATTTTAACAGTTTCCTCCTGAACTGTTTCTCTATACAGCCACCAGTGCCTGATACTTCATGAATGCTTTTATGTTGGCAAGAGACATCTGAAGGACTCTAGGACTTACCAATCATCTACAAGATCTGTCCACACTCCATTTTACAGTTTCAGCATGTCAAAAATCCTGAAGTTTGAGGCATGAACATGAAATGACAGTGACTAATTTGCTATAATCCAAGAGTTAAACATTCCTACTGCCTCTCCCCAGGTTTGTCAAGTATGTGGTTTCTAACAGGAGAGAACTCTGCCTAACAGAAGGACATGGTGCAACAGATGGATAAAAGTCTAGTAGCAGTGCACATATTGGATCACTTTATTATGTTTATATTTAAAGCAAACCACAGATCTTAAACCAAATACTGTTTAGAAATATTTCAGTCTTTTGTTTAAAAGACAATTATAATCTCCTTGATTGTGGAAGCAAGCGCTTGGGTAACAGGAGCTAGTAACCAGAGTCAGATGCTTCTTAGCTGTGCAAGAGGCAACAATGCATTGCTGATTCAGACAGGCATTATATGTTATCTTAAATCCTTCAGTTTGCAACTGGGAACAAGTCTGTCCAAGACAATGGTGTCTTAACCTGTTAGCTGTTATTTTTGCGGTGAATAAGTACAGAAAAAATGTCAGTTTATTCTGATATAACAAATACCATCAGCAAATCAAATATACACTTCTCATTATAAATAGAAAGTTAGAACAACTACAGCATGAAAGTAATTACAGCAAAATTTTCATACAATGCATTTCAGTGTGCAGAATGTCAACACAAAAATATATACTCTAATTCACATCAACTCACCATTCCTTTCCCCTTTAAAGAAAATTAAGAAATAAAATAAAATATTCTTCCTCAAAAAACAATTAATAGCAACAAGTATTAGAGTCCTGAATTAAAAATTTTAGGATCACCTCCAACAACCCTTACTCTAGAAATAAGGGCTTACAGCACAGCTCTGCGAGATACAGGCAGGATTGCTACAGGCCATTTTGGCTTCTAACTGACAAATAATTTATTTTCTAAGTGCTCTAAATCCTTGATTCCAGATGGAAAGTGATCAAAGACAACTGTATTCCATCTGATCCCACCTTCTCATTAGCTACTTTCATGAGATCCTTCTTATCTTTTAATAACGAAAGGATGGAACAGCATTCAGACATCAATCTTTGTAACCAAAGACTTGAACTCTCTCAAATCCGGAAGCTATTCCTCATACTCTGGTTGTTTCCAAACTTTGTCATTCACCCAAGCAATCAATCTAGACCAAACTTCTAAATTCATTAATTTTAACAAGATCTCTTTCTCGTCCATTTAATGCATAAAACAGAAAAACAACATATTGTACAATGCAGCCTCTATGGGTTAGCTAATCTGACAAAATTATTTAAAGTGCAATGTAAAACTGGGACTTTTTGTAAGCATAGGTTTATTAACCACAGCATTTTAATATACTGGCATGGGTTTAAACTAGATTATATCTGAATAACCTGGGCTAGTGCAAGTATTTTAATGTAAAGCTTTTACATTTATAACATGAGTATTTTGAAAAATAGCTGCGTAAAACATTATGACAAATAATACTGAATTCCAAGTTGTATCCAGCTTCCCATAGATTGTTAAAGTAAAAAAGTTTCTCTAGTCCTCTTCTGACTACACTGAAAAGACTAAACAAAGACATGAAAAAAAAACAGAAAGCAAAAAACTTGAATGTGAATGGAACATTTAAACTGAAGCTCAGAGCAGGCCAAGTTCACTGAAGTTTATCTGTAAACTACAGACAGACTTTCAGATTAAGCGTACTTCACACTTTTGTTTTCTATTTCAATATAACATTGACAATCTAGAATGTTTTGTTGTTACACTATTAGAGGTCCTCAAAGTAGAAAAACTCAAATCTGGAAGTAAGTTTTCACATTTCATTTTTAAATTCTTTATTTGCATAGAAAGCAACACCCCATTTCTACCATTTTATCCGCAGATATAGAGAATTTACCATGTTGGCATCATATCAGGAAACCACATTCTTCCAAGGTGCTTGGAGACTTCCAAATGAAGTCGATCCAAGCTATAATCATTATCTGGAATCAGTACCTCCTCCATTATAGAAAGCTGGGTAAGCCTGCCCCCACACATTTTTACAAATTCAATAAAACCTCTGCAAGTTACTTCACATTCACCAAGTCCCATTGCTGTTAAGTTCTTACAGCGCTCAGCAATCCGAATAAGTTCGTCATCCAAAGGTTGAAGTCCATTAGCACACACAACCAACTCAATCAACCTTGGGCAATTCATGCCGATACGACCTAACATTGCTTTGCTTACTGCACGACCAAAGTAAACGTGGGTGACAGGGGTTTCCTCTCTGAAGAAAGCATCAAATTCTTCTTCATATAAGAAGAAATACATCACAATATTGACTTTGGGGGAGTGTTTAACAAGAGCATCCCAGCTTTGCTTTTTAATAGTGTGAAATTCAGCTTGTCCGGGATTTTCACTCACAACATCTATGCGAAGGTGTTCAAGATCAACATGTTTTTCACTTGAAAGGGCCAGCAGTAGTTCATCACTTAATATGTAGTAGTTCAAAGCCAGCTCTTTAAGTCCATGACACTGGTCAGCAACACAAAGAATTCCTGTGGAATAACAACAAAAATGGTAATTTCATGTCAAATGAAAAGTGAATATAAGCACAGTTGTTTGCTGTAAAGCTCAAGCAAATACTAATTCTGTTGGCTAGAGTATTCATGTCTATATCCAAAATCCATGAAATAAATTCTAGATATCCACATACTTTTGTGGGATTTTGGCCATATACACTTATCAGTGAAAGAAGCAAATCTAACTGGTCACATTCATCTTGTATCTGCGTATCTTTCTTCCTCTTTGCCATTCCCTGAGCAGAATTTCCTCAACTTTGAGGAAACAACTGAAATCGGGTAACATTCAGCTGAAGTTGCCACTGTTCCCTTCCCTAATAGTCCTTCCCTCAACATTCATCTAAGCATTCTATTTAAATGACCACCAGCAACCTAGTTTAAGAGCTATGTTAAAACAGACCCTTCCCTGAACTAAGACATAAATAATATATCTGCCCTTAATCTGTTGGAATACAAATGATACAGATTCAATCACCTTTTGTGGACTCTGGAAAAAAATATAGGAAAGACACCAGACCAAGATTCCCCTTCCTTAGCACTACAGTTTCAGGAGAATGGTGAGAAGGGACCCTCTGAACTTCCTGGCAAGCCAGTACTTTGAAGGGAGTGAGCCCTTCACCAACCAATGCTAAAATGAGCAAGTTCATACTACCAGATCTGGACACAGGGGGGCACTACAAAAACTGAAAGACTCTCCATCTTGCACTACTATTTTTTGAAATTGGTACACACTCCATGTTTTTAAATGTAACTTTGAAGTATTAACACTTTTGCTCAGTAAGTTAAACTCACAGCACCTTGCAAAACAATTACTGACAACCGCTCTCATCTCCACCATCCCACCAACCAGCAGCTGACTCATGGGTTGAGGATTTTTCATGTGTTCCCACAGAATGACAGGTAGTTAAGTTTACAAAGTTACACTCATTAAGCAGCACACTAGTTGGCCTAACACAGAACTGGCAATGAGCATCATGTCCATGGAACATGTGTTAAAGGCCTGCACTAATTTTTAAGGCTTTTCCTCCTTAAGGCTTATTATCAGAGGTATTGAAGCAGCTGAGAAGAATGTAAAAATCCCCGGAATTCCAGAAGATTCAGTCAAGCAAGGAGCACCTCCACTTCATTAATCCAACTCATTCAGTAACACAAAGATATTATTCTTCTTCCCCTTCCAACTGTTCAAAGCCAGGACTAGGTCAATAAAGGGCCTCTGCTAAGAGATTCAGAAGAACACTAGAAGTTTTATGAATAACGTGTTTCAAACTAAGTCTCGACTATTGTTTTATGACAGTTTACTGCTACATTTTTCATATATATTCACTACTCACCAGCAGGTGATACATGAGGACAGCTGCTCATTTTTAGCAGTTTTAGAGTATCACTATTGTTAGCAACAAGAACCTTCAAGGAAGGATCATCAAGCGGTGTATCATCTATCTTGATTGATGATAATGACTTGGAGTTTACAAAAACTACTGTCAGTGCTGAAGCAAAATGAGCCTGTTTGGAGAAATTGAGGGAAGAAGAAAAAAAAAATCTTAGGAAAAGATAGGCAGAACTTCAGCATCTAAACCTCAGGTTTTACATGCACAGAAAGTATGAATATAATCACTTCTTAGGCATCCCCTCTCTTGTGTAACAAGGAAAGGCTTACTTGAATATAAGCATAGGAAATCTCTTCTTTGTTTAAAAATAAGCTGCTGTGTGTGACAAAAATTAACTTTATGCTCAGTACGTTAACTCATCCACTCTGATTTATCTTTTCACTGTAATAAAACAGAGGCAAGTGGACATTGCGGAGAGCCTGAAGTATCTAGAATTTATCTGCATAAAAAAGGAAATGGCATTTGTTTTATTTTCAGGAAAGTAATTCTGCTGAGACCTATAGAGTCAAAAAAAACCAACCTAAATATTTTAACAATACATTGCATTGTATCTTTTACTCTAGAAATGAGGAAACTCAAGCCTTCTAAATTATTCCCCATCTTTATGCCACAAAGTATCAACACTACTTAACTTAATGAATGGAATCAATGTTTATTTTCCTAATACTAATGGATGTCACAAATTAAAGAATATACACCAATAAATGCAGACTGTTTCATAAAAATTACCATCAACTGAATAACAACACATAAGAAAGCTAAACTTGTTTAATAGTGAATTAAGTCACTCCAGTTAGCTTGCAGAATATTACCTTAGAGACATTCATGAAGCTTGGTTTTGCAGTAGAAATCAAACCCAGTGTCTTTATAGAACAGTTCACTAATTGAGAAAGGATGTCACAGGCTGCTTCTGCTGACTCAGTACTACTGTCGACCTACAAAAGCAATTTTAAAACTAAGTAGTAATTATTTATTTTTATTTAGAAAACAGCATCACAGATACCCAAGACTGCAAGTGCCACACCCACTCAGCTGTACTGCACCAGACTGCATTTACCACAAGGACAAAGCGCAACATTAATTAGAAATTTCAAGACAAGAACAAGTTCAGGAAAGTTGCTATTAGAAAATTTTCCCTGAGTATGACTGTCTGGTATTTCTCATATGAGCTTAAATCTAAGCCTTCTCTTTAAATAATCTCATGTCTTCCTAAACAACTGGAATTAATATTGGTGTTATAATAGACAGTGGTATGAATGCATCTTTTTTAAAATGCCAATTCTAGACTCCTATAACTGAAAAAAGGCTGGATAAACCCTAGATATACTCCAGCAAACTAATCCATTTACCTGCAGGGATACCTTTGCATGTAGAATAATTAACTGATTCTCAATTCATCTATAAGCCTGATGACTAACTTTGGAAAAAACACTATTTCATTTCACCTTCTTCGTCTGTAGTAGCTGAGATGATAAAAGAGTTGCTGACAAAACATAAAAGTTGCATTAAGACATTATAATGTCAATTCAATACAACCAGTTCTATGAAGTGCAGAAGCTACAAGTATTTAATAACTGATTATCTATGAGCTGCTGTGCAACCAAATCACAATGTCTCCAAATGTAAAACTGCTACCAGTGCTGAGAAAAAGCTTCTGATTTTCATCTTAGCTTTAATATAAATCCTTCTGCTTTTCCTTCACAGCTTAGAACTATGACCTCCTCTGAGAAGTGACTGCAAAAAAGTGAACAAAGCACCTGTAGTTCCAACTATGATCTTCTCAGATAAACAGAGTAAACTGTATCAAGTATTCAAATTAAAGAAGTCCACATTAGTGTAATCTTCAGACTACAACCATAGCCTTCATTTTTAACAAGTTTACTATTACTTAATTATGTCCTTGCGTGTCAATAACCTGAATGTATGGGCACAGCATCTTTCTCCCTTACTCATACTTTTTCAAAGCATGAGTCTAAAATTTCAAGGCATTTTTCACTGTATAGCCTTATTTTGCAAATAAATTATACACACAAGACAAATTTATTTCCTCAAATGCTTCCATGGGTAAGAAATATTTATCTGCACAATAATCTGACGAGTACTCACTTTGACACTGATTCACAGAAGCTATGTATTCTGTATATTCTGAAAAAGTATCATTCAATCTTTAGCACGGTATTGCATGACGTTAACGCTTTCTTTACTTTGTAGAGATTAGACTGTAGAAAGTTGAAAGAAACCATGTGCATGCATGGAAATAAATTGTTCCAGTAGTGGCATTTTTAAACATAAGGCTTCCCAGGTGCAACATTTCAGCCAAGTGACATAAAGAAGCTGTATATATTACGCACAGTAACATGACAGAACAAGCCTCCATACATCCAAGACTTACCTTGAAGCTGACGTACTGCAGATGATCAGCATGCCTCTTGATAATCTGCTGAATGAGATCAGGATGTGTAGACTTTAAGTAAGAAGTAGCTGGCTGGCTAAGTTCAAATTCAAATTTCCTCCAGAGATCCGGGATATGAAAGATTTCATTCCACCTTCGACAAACAGAAGATGCCCTGGCTCGATCTACTAAAGACAGAAACTGAAAAATATGCAGAATAATATGGTGCGGAAGGCTTCCCCAGTCCACTGAGGCATGTAAGTCAGATTTACCAAACACTGAACCATATAAACAAGATTTCTGTTTTTTGCTTCTCTGTGATGTTTGAGGAGCTTCATTTTCAACCACAACTTCCTGTCTAGCTCTCTTCATTGTGAAAGTTTCAGGTACTGGAATGATCCAATGTATTCAAACTGCACAGTTTTCTGAAAGGTCTCACGTACAGTAGGTCTCTAGAAAAACACAGAAGATTAGGGGAGGGAGACAAGGCAGTGGAAACACAGTAAGAGATAACAAGTTAGTAAAACTTAAATATAGTACATTACTATGAAAAAAAGGTATATCCATATGTCAATATCCAGTGCGCAGACATGAGAAAGGACCTTCTTTCCTGATACTTCTATTTTGTACAACTTGGTTTGAATCTGGGGAACTTGGGTTTGTTAATTTACCAAATGTAGTTTCATGTGTTAATACTCCACAGTATATACAGCACTTTGTGGAAAAAAAAAAAAAAAAAGTATTTAACAGCAATTTAGTTTAGCAGTAGCAAACTGTGTATGTTTAAGTTTAAACTCAGCAGACAAACTACAGAATCTACTCATGGTTTTTAGAAGAATTTTATCAACTGCAGAACCCAATTCATAAACTCCCTTTTTAAACACTAATGAACTTGGAACAGACTTGTTCAGATGAATCAGATTCAAAAGCTTTGATTGCCTGCTTCCCCCACTGCTTTGCTTTCTTGGTTTTTTGTTTTCTTTTGGTTTTTTGAATCATGCCAGACAGAGGAAAAATGTTGGTACAACAGCAAAAATCTTCAGGGGCCACTTATCAAAACAGGTCAAAGTAAGTAAGGTTCACATGCTGTTTTTCAGCAGAAGAAAAAGACAGTGACCCTGGAATACAGCAAACTGCATGAATCTACTTCACTGAGGAACATTTGCCACTCGAGCCAGTGGCAATCTACTCAATCCCATTCTAAACTGAATTCTGTTGTTCAGCAAATTCTCAAGAACTGTCTTAACTGTTTCAAACACTACTTCATTTTACAGTGGGCTAAGGCCCCTTCTCAAATGTCCTAATTAGATGCTCAGCTAGATCTTCCCTCTTCCCAACCAGTCTGAAGCTACAATTTTCAAAGCAACTATGAATTCTTCAAGAACGAACAGAACACGTTATCTATTTTTACTGAACAATCTTCCACAGCAACCCTCACAGCATGCTTTTTCTGGACTGAAAATTGTCCACGGTACCTTCATTATGGTGGAGGCTAAAAATGACAAAATCCAGAAACAGCTGCCAGAATACAGACTATCCTATTGAAAGTGTATCTGTCATTTTCCCCAGTTTATAAAACCTGATCTGTATGGCTCATGAGGTATCTGATACACAAGTGTAACTCCATTTTTATGAAAAGAAAACACGTGCATTCTTTGAGAAGTGGGAAAGAACAACATAGTCAATTAAGAGCTGTTCATATGACCAGCTTCACTACTGTTTATCTTCCTGACAGTCTCAATCACCAAGGAATTTACTCCAGCAGGCTTCAGAAATCTTCATTCAATCTTTTTAAAGTTCCACTTATGATAATGATAGGTGATAAACACAGAAGGATAAGCTAGTAACACTCTTTAAATTATACTTAATAACAGAAGCTTTTCTTCCCTGAATAGGCACGTGTCTTATGTTAACAAGCAAAGACAGCAAGTCAAATAGAATGAAGAACAATGTTACAAAACAAAGCAGTATTTCTAAACAATTCATTAGTGTTACTAATGTAATGAAGATGCAAGCTCAGCATGAATAAACATTTTGTTACTAGACCATTTTCTCAAATTATCATCCACACAACCCTGTTTTATGACTTTTGAGTGCTGTCAGTCACACAATGAATGGGCATTCCAAAGCATTATGTGTGGATGTAGTAATTAACCATTACATAACTCCCAGTTGCTCATAGCCTTGCTAAATTTAGCAAAGGCTAAGTACCTCTTGAGTCAAATGACTGGGTTTTTTTTCCTTCCCTCATCCCTCCTTGGGAAGAATTCCACAATTAACTGTTTCCTAAAACTGAAGTCCAGAATGAAAAATGAAATTAAAGAAACGCTGTTGTCTGAGAAGTTTCTCTATGCTTTTGCTATTCTCATGCAAATCTGCAACATCTTGGTAAAATGTAAGTTTCTGATAAAAATAGAAATTTTCACTCTCTCATTTTAAATTTATTTGAGCTTCACAGGTGCTATTCTGTCTCCCACAAAGAAGTTTTGGCACCTGAGAACTACCAGAAAGGGTACTCCCCTAAACCATAAGGCCAGGCTGTAGACCAGATGCAGCATATCCAGTCCAGATGTATGAAGACATGTGAGAAGGTATGCATGGCATACATAGTATCTACACTCTCACTGATGGAACGTGGCCGTAATGTGTTCTTGTTGCTACATCTCTAACACTGATAACTCTAGAACTTCCATTTTTAGTATTCTATATTTCAATACTTTAAATCTAGCAAAATGACATTATATTACTCACTGGGATGCGAAGCCAGGAAAAGGTTCCATTGGTTATTTATCATACAGTTTTATCAAACACGAAGCCTTAATATTTACTGTGAAAACGTGAATACTTAAACTATGAACAGTATATATGTTAAAACACAACTGAAGTTAGCTATATTATAGTTCCAGGTGGTATAATCCAGGCAGTATTCAACCATGGGCTTACATGCACACATACCTCCAAAGAATGTGGAAGGTCCTGTCAAGTTACCAGCACCATTCTGGTATCTGAACATCCATCCCACTGTTGAGTCATCCTGTATGTGTGCATGGATTCTTTAACCAGAAAGCAGGGACGGGTCCCAGAAGATGAACTGACCTGTGAAGCCACCGACCAAATAAACACAGTTCTGCAACGTCTGGAAGACTCACAGGAGGGAGTAAACTCAGTTTTGGAACAAAAACTGAGATTAATAGTATACTCTGCACTCCAAGTCAGACGTGGAAGCAGAACAACAGAATGTGACAAGCAAATTACTTTTACCAAATGTTGTTATCTGAAAACTATCATTTAACTAATGGGATGGTGTAAGTGTTGGCACAAATCTAGTTTTTGCATCATCTACAATTTTAGTCACGACAGTACTCGTATGCAACACACATATGCCTCTGAATTCTTGAGTATTACTTAGAGAAATTATGAACATGGATAAGAAGCATTAACTTTTTCTTAGTATTTTTTTCTCTATCTTAGTATGAAAGAGTATCTTGGTCTGCTATAAGAAAGTATACCCAAAACATCTAAATTCAGTTACCCATTTTGCATTATTTGAAGATGGTTGAATTGAAAGCTATAGGAACGGCTACACACATCTTAAATTATGACACTTTTGAAATGAAAAAGTGGTTTTAAAAACTGAATTACAACTTTAGGATGTTTACAAAGTCTTGTATTCGACTAGTAATTACAGCTTTAGAAACCTTTTAACACTGAGCTTTTAAATAAAAACATGGGAGACATGGAACGTTAGATTCTCCTGGGTAATATCATCATATTTTGAAAAACTACCCAGTTAATATCAGCTTTATAATTGTAAAGTTTGTCAGGTATAGTACATCTGTTGGTTATGAATACAACAAAAGAAGCTGTCCCTATATCCTAAGCAAAATCAAACTCAAGTATTGAAATCTGTGTCAGTAATGCTGTTGCTCAGCTCATGCATCAGAAAATTTAATAGCTGCATAGTGACACTTGTCTGTAATTAGAAAGTTGCTATACATTAGTAACTCTGGTCATAAATGGAATCTGAAGAAGTCTGGAATTTATGATGGCCTTGGATTGCACAGTCAGTCTACAAGTATTACACATATTTTGTGAAGTGAGCAGACTGCCTGTCTGATAACTCTGAGTGGCACATAAAATTCAGTTGGAGAAGCGCTGTAAGTTTCTAACTCATAAAAGGTAGTTTTATAATGACACATGTAAACCGAATACATAAGAAACATTCTAATTGAGAGAGCAAAACACTGAGATGCAATTTAAAGATTCAGCATAGAAGTATATTAAGTGTAAGTTTATAAACTGCATAACTTAGTTTGAAGTGGCTTTCTTACCTAAAGAATGTTTCCAAATTACAATAGGCAATAAATGAATGAACTGAGGCAGCTTCAGCCATGGGGCACTCACAAGCATCTGTCTGCTTTTCCCTCCTGTCCAGATAAAATGCCACAAAAACTTCTATTAGTTTTGAAAAAACAACCCCTTGTATTACATCCCATGCAAAAATGATAGGAAAATATGTTGACATCAATTTATATACTTTCTTGCTTTAGTAAAGGAGCTTGAAGGCATCATCTTAAAACAAGGTAGTTCATCCCCCATTGCAAATATTGTGTCATTGACAGAAATGTGAGGTCAGATCAAGTATAAAACAGATGGGAAACAAGTGTTGCAACTGCATTTACATTGTACTGGCCAACAGTACAGTGTAAACAGTAAGTTATTCAATATCTGCATTATCTTTACCATTAGTGGCTAAATTTGGTAAACAACACTGTCTATAACTACTAACGTATCTAAGAGTCATGGAAAATGTAGGGGAAAAAAAAAAAAAAAAAAACACACAAGATGTTTTTTTCTTGCCTCTTTCCCTTCACTGGCAAGTCTGTCTATTGGCCTAGGGAACTATGTGACAGATGAGCAAAACACAGGGGCCACATGGCACAGCCTCCTGCCACCAAACATGAAGCAGCCTGAAGTCACCAGCCTGTACAGCCCTGGGCACAGTGGCACAGGGCGAGGAGCAGGACAGGAGCTGCAGCCCATCAGCAACACCCAACCTGCAGCCTCCTCCCTGTTTATGAGCTCCCAGAAAGCAGATGACAGTCTGTACAACCTGGAAAGGATAGCACGAACTACCAGATCAAGGGGGATTACATTAAAAGTCCCCCTACCTCCCTCCACGCTGTTTTAATACTACATTACAGATATGTTTGTGTGTCAGTGTCTTCCGTCATAAGTAATCATTCAAAGTTTTACCCCCAAGAATATCAAAGTTTGCTTTTGTAAAAACACACCAAATAACCGAAATCTTCCTCATGATAAACTTTATATGCCTATCATGGTGGGGGGTGGGGGGCGGTGGGGAGGGGAAGAAGGGAGGAGAAGCATACCCTTCCATCTGTTCTAAACTCAGGATTTCAGTATTCTTCCCAACACTTCCCAGTGTGGCTGCAAGCAAAATAATTGTTAATAGTAAAATAACATCTGAAAATCAAGAAAAGGACAGTAATGTCTTTTTAAAGTAAGAAACGTATCAAATACAGTTCTATTAATGTAATTGATAAAGACTAGCTACAATGTTCAGCAGGCTTCTGAATTTCACAAAGGTTTGTACTGTTTACCTGTAGCAGCTGAATACTCCCTCCTAACCACAGACCTGATGAAGCGAGCTTCTCTTTCACAGACCTGTCCTACAACCCCTCAGTTCAGAAGGAAGTCTATGCTTTTACATTGCAGATAAAAGCAAAATTTTAGATACATTAAAAAAAAAAAAAAAGTTACTGCAAGTTGTTAACAAAAAAAAAAAGTTAATCATGTGTACAATCTAACGATGCTTCATTTAAGAGTCCCATGACACAAGAACCATCCAAAGCAGCTTAAACCATGACAGCTTGTAGATGCAGAAACATTTATATTAAAAAATAACTAGTTATCAGTGACACAATCAAATACAAGCTTGTTATATAAATAACAGTGAATTGTTAGTCTAAGGTAGAGTTACCCAAATTACTATCAAAGATAAACAACAGCAACACAGTTGCTGAAATGAAACACTCTGATGAGGTTTATCAAATCTATTCATAACCTCAATTGTGTAGAGCAAAGTATCAAATTTTGGTGCACTACTCTACAGCCTTTTTCCTCTATAAACTTTTTGACCTCAAATTCAAGTATTTTGCACAGCCGCATGTTATCCTACTCAAACAAACTCAAATCCACAAAAAACAAGAATCCAGAAAAATTCAAGTTAAAGAACTGTTTCTGCAGCTTATCCCAGTAACAGAACTGTAAACTTCTGCTAAAATTAAGATGTTAAAACCTCTCCCATGACATGGGGTCTCAGCAGGGGATTCTGAGAAGTGGTCGGCATTGGCTCAGCTATGCTAGCAGCTGTTCACTACCTCCAGTGCTCCAACATCAGTTGCAAAGAAGAGGTTTTATTACTGTAACCGAACATATCACAGATTCAAGCCACAAAGAAGTAACTGCTTCCTCCAATTTGTACATTCCCCTTTCAGTTCTCAACACCAGGACTCAAATGGAATTAATAAACTAAAACACAACAGACCCAGGTTTCTAATAGATACAGTAAAAAAACAACCCAAACAAAACCAAATTCAGCAGAAATGAAGCTACTGAGAAATAAAAAGCCTTTCAAACACCTAAGCTTGGAAATCCACTGGGATAAAGTACACGTCATGATAATTAAGCTTTAACTTTCTAACACGTGGAAATTAATGTTTATGGATCTACCTTTAACAGCTGAATACTTGTCACATTAATCATAGCGTCTTTTAAGAAATCACAGTTCAGTGATAGTATCATGGTCACCCACTCACAACAGTAAGGAATTCAGGCTCCATCTGGGGAAGGAGAGCAGCAGATGCTGCACACAAGAAAAGCAGTGCTGGAAAGCTGTTGAAACTGCTGTTGCAGCCTCAAATTCAACTGCTGAGTATGTTTCAAAACGTAGATCAAACACACATTTTAAGCTTACATCTCAGAAGATCTAGTCCTTCAGTATGAAGAGCTCCAAGATTTAAGCTTTTTCTTCATTTAGGACACAGCGATCTTTTAATGGGTGGCATTTTTGCTTCTGAACATGATTTTTCTTTTAAAATCAATCCTCATTTTTTTCAAAACTGAGCCTTTCTTTCAAGGGATTTATCTCATTCTTAGTACGTTTATGACAAAACCTCAGAAACCTAAAAATAACAGCATCTATCTAACCACCTTCATGCTTGCATTAAACTAAAGAAATACAAACACATTGTTGCTTTCAGTGTTATTTAGGTGATAAAATTTAGCCATTCGTGTTCTACTGATGCATTATTTTCAAAAGAAACTCACCCCCATCCCAGTAGCCTTTGGACTAGGAACAACACCCACGACTCCCCTTGTTTTACTAAATAACACATCCGAAGCTCCACAGCTCTTTTTTAAAGAGTTCTCTCCAGGGCTTACACAAGCATTGCACGACAGAAAAAACCCACCGCATTCTTTCTACAGGTTTCCTAGAAATGTTTCGAGCCGACTTTCAAGCCATTCAAGCTCTTTACACTGAGAAAAAAACCCTTCCTTCCTAACCGACGGCCCCGAGCATCCCCAGCGCCCCGCTCGCTCGGATGTCCACCCCTCCAGGTCCCTCTCTCCGGTTATTTCGCCTGCGTGGGGACAGCCGGGTGACTTACGAGAGGGTACAAGCCGACAGGAAAGCCCATCAAACCCTTCCTGCACCGCGAGGTTTGGAGGTCGTTTCCCCTGACCGCGCGGCACAAGCCGGCTGCGAGCGCAGGGAGCCCGGGGCAGGGCATTACCTCTCCCGCCAGTATCTTCCGCAGCCCTCCTGGAGGCGAGGGGAAGGACGGCGGCCCGGTGACCTGCCCTCAGGCCGAGGGCGGGGGTTTACGAAAGCCACACGCAGGCAGCAGCCCCGCTGAGCTCAGATTACCTCACGGCTCAGGGAGAATTAAGGTGCCCGGCCGCAGCGTGCGTCTGGCTGGCTGGGTCTGCAGCCCGCGGCTTCTCCCCGCCCGCCCGGTCACGGCGCTGGCGCGTCCCCGTCCCCCGCCGGCTCGCAGCGGCAGAGCCCCGGCAGCGGCAGAGCCCCGCCGCCGCCATCCCAGGGCGCAGGCGCTGGGCGAGGCCTCGGGGAAGGCGGCGGCTGCACGTGACGGCCGGCGCCATTTCGCGGCCTAGCGAGCCGAAATGGGGATGGGCGGTGGGGCGAGGCCGGCGGCGGCGGAGCCGGTCGGGCCACGCTGCCAGGCGGGGCGGGATCCCGCCTCCCTTCGCCTGGCTGCGCCTCTCCCTTCCCAGAGCAGCGAGCGTGGTTCCTCCTCCTCCGCCTCCTCAGGCCCTCGCCGCAGGCTGCGTCCCTCTCGTTTTCTGCCTCGGGTATTCCGCATCGTTTCCTGGTGTGAAGTAGCTGTAGCCCCTTGAGCCGGGGCAGCAGTGGAACTTGGAAACTGTCCCTTGAGCCACTTCAGGAGGTCATTACCGCCAGGCACAGCCTTCCCTTGTCCCTCCCTTGGGAGCCAGGCCTCTGTGACAGCACTGCGGCACTGCCTGGGGGCCCGGAGGATCAAACGGGAACGGGAGCAACATCCTCTCTGCAAGACTTACATTTCTGCCACCTTCCAGGGGAGCCTCAGCCAGCCCGCTCTGGTCCATCCCCAGCTCAATGCTTACTCTTCAAAAAGAGATGGAACACAAGCAGCTTTTACCGATCTTTAGCTACCTGTTGGTCTGAAAGGGCCCCATTCTGAACAGCAAGGCTTTCCCTGCATGCTGTGTGTATCCTCACTGCCTGCCTCTGAAACACCCAGCCAAGGATGGAGGGCTGAGCACTGCATCATATGTCCAAACTGGAGATGCCAAAAGTATACCCCTTAATTTACCACCTAAAGCATAACTTTTAAAAATTGCTGATTTTATCTACGCAGACATAGTACGTAACAGCTCATAACTAGTGCTTCTTTATGATTCCAGTTATATCTGAACAATTGTTTTTTTATTACCAACCGCCACAAAACACAACCACAGATTTCCTGTCTCTTGCATATAGCAATAATTAACCAATAACAAGCCTTTATAGCATCTTTTTATGAAGAGATAATGCTAAACATGTGAAGCATTTCAGTAATAGATTATATCTGCCCTGTATAAAAGCAAAGTTGGCAAAATGCAACTGAGTATTTGTGTGACATCAAAGTACAGGTTCTTCACGCAGATCTGAAAAACTAGAAAATCAGCATTTGAAGGGCTAATGAAATAAACTGAGAGGAATATTTATCATACAGTGACTGTAACATCTTCAGAATACACAGTTTTCTCAAACAGAATGATAAAATACACTGTACACTTGAAATTAGTTTAGTTTAGAAAATCTACCAAAAACACTTTTGCCTATATGGTTCTTGACTGGTTTATTCAGACCCTCAAGGAATTAGGAGATTAAGTTCCAGGTTATTTTTTCAAGTCTCTTGTTTGTAGTATATGTTTTAAAACTGATTTTTCAGTAAATACCGCTACAAAAAGCACCTTTAACTTGGGAGCTGCTATCTGTAAACAGTAATAGAGGATAGATTATAAACAGAGATTGATGCAGATTTGCAGCTAGTACTAAATCCACCCGTCATGGATTTGATTGGTACATTGCCAATAACCGTTGGGCTGCTGTATGGGAACAGGTTCAAATATACTTTAGAAAGATGCATATAGACTAATTGCTGAGACTTTCTGTATAGAAGAGTTTCCTCTTTTGATCTAGTCTAGCAAAAACATGTTGTATACCTAATTTAAAATGCAGACGTATAGAATAGCATAGAAGAATTCTATGCACTTCATAGCTATACTCAGTATTGCTCTAAAATGCTTACAGGTATATACAAACAACAACAACAAAAATCATCAGCTACGGATTTGTCAATACTAGAAGGAAATAAGCACAAGCACGGGCACACACCAGAAGCTTCTATCTTCTACTCATCTTCCAGGTATCCGATAGGTACCCAGCACAGACCTGCTGCTTGTATCTCCAGATCCTTCATCTCATACACAAGATGCAAAGAGCTGAAGGCAAACTGCACGGGTGGATACAGGTCCTCCTTATCTAACCCATTACTATGGGTTGCCCACGTCATCCAGCCACTCAAAGTCAAGCTTAGCCTTCTTCCTGTGGTTGTCTCTCCTGGAGACAGATTTACAGAAAGAGATATTCTACTCATGTCTCATGTTTATGGTGGTTACAGGAATATTTTGCATAATATTTCATGATATACTCTTTCAGTACTTTGATCAAGAGTGATATTCATGTGTTTTATCATTGGGCTTTGAAATAACAATCAAGAAAAACTGTTTGAGTAAAACCATGAGTTACTTAGTATAAGAAAACTTTCAGGAAATCAGAAGTTTCTTGAGACTGAAGAATGAACATGGCTCAATTCAGAATCAGTACACCATGCACTTGGAAGATTTACAAGAACTGTGTGACATACTGTCATTCTTAATTTAAAACCCAAGTACTCAAACTTAGTGATCAAACACTGCAGCTCTGAAGATTTAAAACGTAACTGAGAAGGCTAGAGCAGCAAATGACGCATGAACATGCCCAGAAAGTAGATTAGTGTGTTAGGTCTGCTGGAGGCTCGTGAGCTGCTCTGCTAGACACCAGCTGCTGCACAGGCGAGCAGTGAGAAACAACTTGTTTTAGGAATAGAAATCACTCAAGTTCTTTTTCAAAGGTTTCTATAATCCGCACTGAATCTGAAATAAAATTGGTGAAAAAAAAAATAGCATATTTGCATGCCTGTTTACAAATGCTTTCGTTTATAAGAAAGAGTTAAAATGTGGGTTTGTATATATTTTTGTGAGATGATATTAAGCTTTTAGAAATTCAGTAACAGTCTAATGATATCTCTCCAGACATAAGTATGAATCACTAAAGGGAGTAACTCCAAGTATGTTGTAATCCTGTCCTTTTGTTTGATGTATATAACTATACAAGACAGTATATTACAGTTGTTTTATATATATGCAAGACATGTCTTTCAGACAAAATTGGTAATAGGTACAGTTAGCAGTGCCCATTAAACTGCAAAACAAGTATAAGAAAATTATTGCTAGAGATGCTGTTTGTACTTTCTGGGGAAAGAGCCACCACAAAGTCATATTAATAGCTTTTAACTTGTTTGAAAATAAATTATGTAGAGTAGAGATGCAGTATTCCTGTGGTATACTCTAGGCATGTTATTAAAATCCCATTGAAACAACGTGTTTTAATCTGTAAATTAAATATATATATATATGTCATTTCTAACTACCAGTTTTTCAATCATTAACTTTTTGATTAAATTTTCATTCAGGGCATCCCGAGGGCTGGCTGGGAGCCAGGGGGGTACCGCAGCCAGCTGGGCAAGGGCCTCACCAGGCAGCTCAGCATGGCAGGTCCGGAGATAGCAGCCAGGTTCAACCAAGAGCCCACATCATCGGGCAAGTCTGTGGTGATGAGGCAGGTCCAAGGTGAAGCCAGGTCAGGGTCCCTGGCCGGGCACAGGGGTGACAGTGGCTGCAGCCCAGCACAGCTCCAGCATTGCATAGGGAGGAATTGAAGGGCCCAGGCTGAGCTTAAATGGGCACCAGGGCCCTGGGCAAGGGTGTGGGTGAGGCCCCAGGTGAGGCTGCTCAAGGCCATCAATACCTATTAGGGTATTAATGTATTAGTGCCCTGACACTTTCGATACGTAACTCTGCCCAGTAATCCATAAAATACAGGTTATTTTATCCTCTGATTGGGTATTATCTGAGCAGCATTAAAAATAAATTGCCAACTAATTCAACTTCTATTTACTGGTACTGATATATAGATTGTCATTTTTGGGAAAAGAAAAAAAAAAAAAGATTCTCTGATTCAGATTTTTTATGTCATTAGCTATTTGGTAAATGCCACAGTGTGGCTGACGAGTAATGAAATCCTCAGAAGTGGCTGTATCCACTTAGATGCTGATAAATGTCTTTGAGTGGAACACAGAATAAATTGTTGTTGAGATGTCATCTGTAGTAACTGTGGTTCTGATTACCTGCTTTAATAAATAGATGCTCTCTACCCTGAAGAAAACACCAACCTTAGAGGACTAAGGCTGTTCAAAGTAGGCAGCTGAATGTTTGATTTGATCAGAAAAAAATAGCTGATAATAGAAATAACTGATAATAAGTAGCTAAGTTTTTGAGTTTTAATACTAGCAAAAGCTCTGTAGTTTTATAGCTGAGTTACAGCTCAGACAGGCTACCTATGGAGGCTACAGAACCCTCTGTGGAAGATTTCAGAGCAGTCAGGCAAAATTTTTGTCAAGGATGATCTGGACATACAAAACTCTGCTTCAGAGCAGAGGAGGGGATTCAATGGCCATTTAAGTTCACCTGCAATCATATGTTTCAATCATTCATGTTCTCATTATGTCCATATCTCCTTTTTCTGTTGGTGGCAAGTGCCCATTTTTTTCATGGATTTGAGAAAATCTATTCACCCTGTTGGCAAGAGGAAGAAGTGGGTTTGCTACAATTCCCCTTCCAGGAAGGAAAACTATTAACGATACAGCTTGTAAAAGGAGTTTTTCCCAGTTTGTTCCCCTGTTTTGGATTTTGTCTGTGGGGCTTAAGATTCATGTATAAATAAAATAATGTTTTAGCTTTAGCAACCTTATCTTCCTTTTTGATTCATATTTGTCACAATCTTTTCCAGAGACACACTTTTGTTAGTTCTTTTCTGCATTATGCACAGATGGTGTAAATTTTTTTTTTTAAATGTTGGATCAATGGCCAGTGAACAAAGAAATGCAGAACTGACATGTTTTCTGCAATTTGAATTTACTCTCTAAAGATCTGGATTTTTAAACACATACTTTGTTTGCTTTCAGATGTTGCTATAGCATTGCTTGGTCACAA